GCGCTCTAGATCAAAACAGATAAAAAACAAAATCTGTGTTACGGCCGGGAAATAAAATTATCTTGTTTTAAATATCGACAGTTCCATTATACTACGGTTTTATTAAAGTTGCACATTTAATGATTTAATGAATAGAAATAATATCATTATAAATAAACTGATTCGTATTTGTTTGAAATGCATTTTACAAATGTCAGTGAAACAATTTTTTTTTTTCAAATATTGTTTAATTTTATTTTTGATAAATTTCTGACTACTTTTCTTAGTGTTTTTATTAGTTTCCAAATCTACAGAATAGATTTTTAATACGTATTAATCTGAATATTTTAAACACACTTTAAAAGTTCAAGTATATAAATATGTGGTGGTCATCGACTTTCAGTTTTGATTAAGAATTGAAAGCTTCATTTCCATTATTCGTTCTCCAAACATTGTTGTCTAAAGCTGACCAAAGTGTGATTAGAAAAATAGCATCATAGTCGACATAGTTATTGACCAAATAGTTAATAAATTCATTAACTGTAGAATCCGTAGATTTTTCAGTGATTATAGTTTCAAAAACACAGTTCCCACTTCACTCAGAGGAAAAAAAGTCAATCTAAAAACGTAGTGCAACCATTTTCCATTTTTTTTCTGTAGTCTATACTATATATGGTCAGTCCTAATCCTAAAATTGTTTTCCACCACACTTGATTGAAATGAAATCAGCATATTTTAATCAAAGTGGTGTTTGGGAATTCTTTACTTGTAACTTGAAAAATTTATTTTTTAATTCAAAAAAGTTATATGTTGTGGCTTAAACATTAAATTAATTTCCAAACATTTAGTTTTAATTGTAGACTTAACAGTTCTGTACAATAATTGTTTCTTTTTATATTTCAATGAATTAAGTTTAATAAGAACATATTTGTCATTTTTAAAATACCTGCAATTATTGTAAATATTTGCAAAAAAAATTTTCTCCTGCCATAAACTAAAACTTAAAAGATACCTACCTATAACACTGACTGCCATTGGATAAGCGTTTGTCAGATAATCGATAATCGAATGCGGACTGTATAGTAATTTTATAAGCAATACTATGACCGTAATTCGTCAAATGCAACCGCAACTTGGACACAACAGATAAACCTTGCATTCAACACAGCACTTTTGATGAGCATCAAATTATCATACCCCCCATGTACATAAGTATTTACATAAAACATGTAATATATTAAAGATTTTTTTATTTTTTGTTTAAATAACATGTACAATATCGATGATCGAGCACGGATAATAAATTATTGCACGACGTGTAATACCGTAATGTATAGGTAGCGCATAAATGGTAAATCAGGAGTTATTGCAGTTCTACTGGAAGCATACTTACCAGATTAAATTTTATATTAATCGTGTGATAGTGCGCAACAAATATAATTCAATTACTACGAGTCCGCTCAGCCCGAGTAATGTGTTATACGTTTACTCGAATACCGTTGACTTCGGTGGTTTTAAGTATCTATACATATTATTATTTATTACGCTGAATCTTTTGTTAATATTAGACGTTCGATGTTTGCAGATTTATGTTTTACTCGTGCGTCGACATGCACAATTTTTGAGACACGCGATGTGTGTTTACATCATTACATCGAATATATAATGTATGAAAAAAAAACGTTTATCTCTACACACTCGTAATAATAATGCGAACGCCATAATTGGACCGCTTCTAAGGATTAAAATAGCGCAAGCGGTATAACACCGTAGTATACGCTAACACGTATGCTCATTATACTGCTCAATATAATTTCCACTTGCCATTTTTGTAATCACAGTTTAACACGAAACAAAATTTAGATAAAATGGATAATTAATAAGAAGTACCAATTAATTATTATTTAGTGTTTAGTGACGCCTTTCGTGTGTATACGGTATACCCATCTATATTTGCAGAAGTACTAAAATCAGTTTATCCACGTGTCTATCTACGTTTAAAATGTTTAAATATATACTAATAGTATTAGTATCTATAAGTTTAATAAGTATAACTTATATTTATTATTCAATATTCATATTATAATAGCAATGAAGAATTGACGGTTAGAGATTAAAAATTTGTTATTATATAAATTGTAATGGAAAATAAGTTAAATTTGAATTCAACGATAACTAGTGGCGTGGTAAAGAAGTTTTCGAGAGGCAATGGCCTTTGAATTTTTTTCAGTGGGTGTATGGAAAGTTTGGATAGTCAGTGGCTCGTGACTTATATAAGAATCTGTAATATATCAATTCGGTTGTGCCTATGTCCTATATATCATTTATAATAATTATTATTCAGCGAGTTCAAAATAATCAAGCCTGTACGTCTGAAAATTTATTAGTGTATGATACTTAAACTATTCTATGACACCAAATTGCTGAATGTTGAGATTAAAGGAGCCGGACGATTGCCGAGCATTCGACATTCGCGAACCCGTCGCACCACGAATGCCGGAAAACGTGCGTGAGTGGCTTACCGCCGGGCACCGTCCGTGCTCTTTCTCGTATCACCCCATATCCTTATACGTTTCCGTCGTCCTGTCCGATGTCTTCGACCAAGGGTATTAAGAGTTGGGATTGCAGATGCTGATCGCGTATCGAGTGCAATACGCACACGGCACACCGCAAAACCCACCTGACCATCACCACACCTAGGAAAATCCCCGACTGCGAGGGGTGGGTTTCGGTGAGGTCGCACTAGGTTCTAGCCAGCCGACCAACTACCCAAACGAATTCTGACCTACGATCCCTTGGCCGGTACCACGCCCTGCGCCTTCACTTTTTCCACCGCATCGCCCTTCGGTCCGTCGTTAGAAATGATTATAGCAGTCGTTCCATTCAAGGGATATAGTACTCGACCGACTACGTCGTCATTTCCGACGACGACGCATCTCCGTCGAGTAACAGATCCTCGCACACAGCCGACAACAAACCGTTAATGTATTCTTCAGTACCTAGTCATTGTATCATCCGTTATAGGTAGCTTTCAAGTCTTCGATTGCTTGTTTAATAACTCAGTCGACGTTGATGATTTTATCCAATTATTTAATATTTTATACAATGACGATCAATTACACGTATTGTTATCGTTAGCATACCTACCTATTACTTTTTTGTAATGTAATATAGGTAATTTAAATAATAAATTGCCATGTATAATACATATATTAAATTACGACCAATATGATCCTGGTCTAGACCATTTTTTTCTCTACATTTTAAAATGAGAGTTATTTGTAAAGTTTATTATAATATGATGACTGACGATAACAGCCGATAACCATTGGACACGAAAAGGGATAAATCGGTACAATACATTTGAAAGTAATACCATAATATCTAAAAACGGCAGGTGGACGGGTAAAATTATATTACATATATTATCACGGTAAGTAAACATACTTTAATATTTAAATTAATAAATATGCTAATATTGCTAATACACAAATACACAAAAACAAATAAAAATCGTGGGATCTCGTTGTCTCGGCTCGTTTACTACAGGTTATACTTAAGTCAGGTAAGCACTAGGTACCCGTTAAAAATTAAAGCTATGTCTGTATATTAAAATATGCTTATAGCTTATGTTTGAGTTATGTGTAAGCTATCAACGAACAGCAAAAAAAATATTTTTCTATAAGAAAATAAAAAAAATATATTCAGTCACGCTTTTTGATAATATTAGTGTATCATAATTCATAAATAGTTATAGCACCTACGTAGGTATTCATGTAAATTTATTATTAGGTAACCTATAGATTAAAAATAATTTGATTTCTTATGTTAAAAACACTTATATGGTTGTGTGAAATGGTGTTGGCAAAATGTCACGAAACTCGTCTTTGAACATAACGAGTATATATTTAAACTTTTAATAATGTTTAATATGTTAAAACATTTTATTTATTTATTATATAGTATACAATTACAGTAATTTGTATGAAATTTTAAGAACAATAATTTTAGATTTTTCCGGCCCGAAAATAATATTGCACCAATTACACTTTTATATTGAATTTTTAGAAGATCAGCCATGTCTTGATAATTTTTGTTTGGATGAAGTTCTCATATTGATAGCAAATCATATTCTATGTTTAAATTTTTTTAAATAATAACATATCGTCATGTTGGTAAATACAGGATGAATATAGTTTGTATTATTAATTCATATTATGTCAATTTGAATAAACAATACAAATCATTAATTAATGAATTTTGTCTTACAAATTATAAAGCATTTTTTTTTTACTTTTATGCATGAATTATCAAATAATAGAGTGTATTATATAAATTAAATTTCAATACTCCGGTTTATGTATAGCAAAAAAAAAAAAAAAATAATAAAATTCTGTATAAAGCCAAGATATTTAAAATATTTCTCTCTAAATTTGATTTTATTGATAAAACTTTTATAGGTGTATAATATTTTATGTCTATTCCATCCCATTTTCATTCCCAGATATGGATCTTATATGCAAATATTCAAAAATAATATTATAAGAAAGCATATAAATTAAATTAAATTAATGAAAATAATACTTCTATATTTCAGTCAAATAAAAACAGAAAATCATAGATGAGAATAAATAGTGAAGTAGTAGTGTAATATGTATACAATTAAATATATTAATATATAATACTTGGTTGATAATTATTTACAAAAAAAAATTGTTTTATGAAAGGGGGAGCTTCTCAAATAACAGAAAAAGTTTAAATATTTAGATTAATAATAATGATACTCTCGTGTCTATACTTAACTTTAAAATTCTAAAGAAATTGTATTTCTTAACATTTTGTTTTCAATTAAAAAGTCTGATTAATCATACATAAAGGATTTAAAATAAAAATAGTAACACATTTATATATCATGTATATATATTTAAATTTTAAATTAATAGATTATTCTATCAAATAAAAAAGATGTTATTGAAATTTACTTTAAAATAACAATAATAAAAGATATTTAATAGTTCAATAATAAAAATGTAATTAATAAATTTATTTAATAATCAATTTTTTTTTTGTGCTTCTTAGTTTTTTTAGGTGTTCTTTTTTCTGTCTTAATCTCTTGTTTAATACTTGCGTTATCAATTGCATTAAAATCATATTTATTTGATAGTCTTTTGGTAATTTTTGCCATTAATTCTGATCTTCTTCTTGTTGCATCTTCTATAGTATCAACTGGAAGTAAGGTATTGTTACTTAATTTGTCTTTTTTAATTCGATTACACATAATGAATGTTCCTGTTAAAGGAACCACATCTGAAAAACAAGATAAAATTTTAAATTTAATAAAATAAATTTAATTGTATAATTGGATATTTAGCATGTGATATAATTTCAACTACAATGATAATAAAAAACAATTGTTTATCATCATTAAATCAAATTCTTCACATAAATATTTTACTTACTCAAGGATAAATTGCTTGTATTTTCACTAGGAGTCACAATAGTAATATTAGTTCCTTCTTGACTTCTATAAGGTATCAAATCAACTTTGTCGGACATTGTGTTTTTAATTTCCAATTTTCTAATTTCATTAAAACTAATTGATTGCGATTGTAAATTGTTAATATCTACCTATAAAATAACACCAATAATAGTTAGTTTGGGACTTATAGCATTTGTAATTGTCAAAATAAGCACTTAAATACTGCATTATAAACACTCAAGTAAGTGTTTAAAACTATTTAAATAAGCAAAAAAAAAGCTCCACAAAAATAATAAAAACAATTTTTTTTTGTGACATGATTTAAAAACATGAAAAAATATAATTTTTATTAACTTCAAATAATTATTTTTTAGTACTTATAAACATATTAATTTAAGTTACACTTCTTATAGATTTCCTAAAAAATAAATTTCAATTTATATGAGAATAACAAAAGAAAAATTAATAATTTAAAAATAAAAAATTTATTTTAAAATATTTCTACTTTCTTTATAGCGTTGAATAATCAAAAGTTTTCTTGAGTTAAATTAAAAAAAAATATTTTTAGTCTTAATTTTACTATAAAAAATTTTACTAAATTCTAGATTTTCATCAATATGGCCCATGTTATAATTAAACAGAAGTATGCAAAAAAGTAAAAATTATTAGAAAAACCAGAAATAGATATGATGAAGTGTTTTAAGGTTTAGTACCCATTGACTATTTTTTAGTTAATATTACTTAGTAAATATGAACAAGATAAAAACTATGATTTTAAATATTTATAATAAATAAAAATAACATAAATTAAAAGTTTAAAAGTTTTGTCTAAAGATTATTCCAGCACTTTCATTCATACATTTTGTTTTAAAATTGAGATACAAAATAAATCTAAGATTGTAAAATGTATAATGTTCACTTACATCATCAGGACATTGCAATGTCCAAACTTCATAATCATCAGTTAGATTTTCAGAAAACAAAACTCCATCATCTCTATTCAATTTAGATGTATCTAATCTTATAAACTGTAAAAAAAAGGTATAAGTAAATAAAAATAATATTATTATTGACACTTAATAATTATTAATATATTATTATGATATCAAATGATTTTATACTTTTAGAATGCAAGTTTAAATATAAGTAACTATTACTTATAATTTTTGTATACCAAACTTATCCACATTTTTACTAATAAATATTTATTTATTTAATCATGATCTTGGAAATTTAAGTATACTAATAAGTTGACTTAGTTTGAAAGACTAATACGATTCACAAAACATGCTCATCTCAATTTTTTTCTTTAAAAATGAATTTATTCAAATTTGTATTCATGGAATTTTAAAATTTGCTTAAATACTTATCATATTTTAAAATTTTTGAGATTTATCAACTACCTACATACAAAGTATTTTGTGGTGATACAAACTTCTGATTTTAAAATGAGAACATTCTCTTATTTAACTGTAAATTATTTAATGAATATTGAAAATGTTGATATGCTCAATTCAAAATTCAAATGAATGGTTTTCCTGTAAATAAAATGTTTAAAAGCATTAAGGATAATAATTCTTAAAAATGGTTTTATAAAAACATGATATATAGGTATTGGTTCTAGTATTTATTATACTTAGGCCATTTATACAAATCATGAACGTTTATAAATTATGTAATATAATTATTATGCTAATCAATATTAAAAAAACTTTCAATATTTTTTAAGCCTAAAATCTAAATCCATGTCTTAGGTATATACATGTATATTCTCTACCATAATTTGTACCTGATCTACAGTTATTTTTACTTATTATACTTAGTCAAGACTAGTCAAGATTTTTAAAAGATGTTTAATAAAGGTAGCTCAATCTAAGATTACTTACTTATTATGAACCAATTACAATTGATTAATAAATTGCATTAATTTTTATGGATAAATAAATAAGTATGTTTTGTTTCTGGTACGTTAATCTTCCTAGATTCTCTATAGTGATTCAAATTGTTTTAATATAAAATATGATAACCAGGTTTATTTTACTACATCCAAAATTTTTGATCGACACGTTTCAATAAGTCACTGAACACAGTCCGTATACCTTACCTATCTACTACTTACAGATCCTGTTTAAAGCTGATCATTGGACAACTAAGTGAAAAAACATAAATTCAAAACTTGCCTCGACAGGATTGTTGGTGGGAGGCCCGATGAGAGGTTGATAATCATCCAAGTCAAAATCGTCAGTCACTTTTTTGATACCGTACGCCTCAGACGTGGTCATCGAAAGTACACTACACGTATCATCTGGCTTAAACTTCTTTCGTTTAGTTTTGGTCTCGGCGGATGACGGAGCTTTGCGTTTGAGACTGTGCACCTTGATCTTGGACATCGAGCTTATGACAGAAACGTCGTCCATCGTCACAGTGGCGTGAAACGTTAATAAAACACCAACAAACGGTATTCGTGAGACGGTGTCAAGCGAAATGTGATTGACGACTCAATACTCTCGTTTCTCGAATCCTAAACACGTGACAAAGATTCATTTAAAAAAAAACATTACAACGTGCCGAGTATCATGGACAATGCATTGTCGACTGATAACGGACTACGAAAAAGACGTGATAACCGTGTAGATCTATGGTGATAACTGGTTCGTGTACGCCCACAGATATATACTAATATAGTATTAGTATATATCTGTGTGTACGCCACGACGTTTATATTACGTTGATAAGACTCCGCGGGAACAGCTGCTGCATCGCGACGGTCGATAGTTTTTCCGTTACGAAATCCCCACCTGAAAAATACCGGTGTTGCTTGTGGAGCGGAGGTGCAACGGGTGTTCTCCCAACGTCTATGTTCGGCCGCCGAGAGTGCGCACGAAAAAAGAAAATTTCCAAAATCCAAATCATACCCCTCACTTTTAACGCTGCCGAGCGACTGAAATCGCGCAAACGGAGAACGGCCCACGCGTTCACAACGCGCTCCTCTGTTTATCAGTTATTAATTAACTTTTATTATTCGTTTTACTGTTACTGTTATTTTTGTTAATATTTCGTTTTTCGTTTTTCTGCGACGGTGATACGCATAAACAATTCAACACTATTCCGATACTGGCGCTGATAATTTTGACACGTCGTGTGCACCGTTTTTTTAACAACACGCAAGGTTGACATAAAAAATTTAATCTTGCCCAACTACGGTCCTCTGTTTGCTCTCCGCCATTCGAGTTCCGAACCAGTGTCTTAATTTGCACGTAATCGCCGTAGGTCAATTGCGATTTTAACCCCGTCGGCAATCACAGAACACACCGTCGATCCATAATAAGTAAGTATAAATATTATTTCGTTACGTTTTGGCGGCAAAACTGGGGAGCGGGAACGTGTTTATTAACCGACGTACGTACCCACTTCCCAATGAGTTTGCTATGAAAGCGGGAAACTGGCGTGCGACTTTTTTCTAGAATTCATAACTATAATACATTAGTTACTTAAAACCAATTTGCTTGTTAATTGTCTCTGTTATTAATTAAAACCAGACCGGTCAATTAACAGTGTCTGTTAAACAGGCGTTTACTGTTGAATGATACATGATCTCGATCGTTTTGATGTTCCATAATGTTTTTAAGCAAACTTGTTTAAGCAAGAGCACCTAACCTAACCTGGTTCAAACAGAGTTTTAAGATACTTTGTGTATTAAGATAAGCATAAATAAAAATATTAGTTTGTTTTACATTTAATCAAATTACAAAGATAATCAAGCGCATGGATATAATAAATAAATTAACGATGACACACATAAAGGTCTTGTTTTGTAGATTACATATTAAATTTAGCGATATAAGTAGGTTACATACTAAATGAATACCAAATATTTATTTTTAATACCAAATACTCAAAAATTGAGTATAAGATTTTATGCTTATTCTTAAATGCTGATGAATCAACTGACCAAGTTTTTATTCTAGTACCTTTTGATTTTTATTGTTATGTATTATTTTCTAATAATTTTTATTTTACATTTAATGATATAATCTTGGTTATCTTCATACTCGCTATGGCTGAAGTTTTTTAAACTTATAAACTTGAAGAACATAATATCTAATTATAATGCTTGTCTTATTAATTATTAGTAATTAAAAAATTATGTATAAACATCTAGTAAAAGTACTTCTTGATACTTGAATCTTTGTTTGTATATTTAAACTCTGTTCCAAATAAGAAGACACCAGTTTGGCGCATACAAATGAATTTTAGAGCGACATTTGAGCCCCTCCCCCTTCTCAAGCAGTTTACTCTAAGTGTTTTGTGATTGGTCGCCTCAGGTTGACTGCAGTCAATGCCATCAGTTAGTTGTAGTTGTCGCCAGAAAAAAATGTTCTACTGGAATGAACGGTAACAGAGATAGTTTTTGGTGGGGAGATATTTTTTAGTTTCAATCGATTTTTGTCTGCAACCTGATGTCTTCTTATTTAAAACAGAGAACACATAAAAAAAAGCATCAAGTTTGTTTTTCTAAGAATAGATAGATTCTATCATTATTCTTAAGCTGGTGATTTAAAAAATCTTAAAATATATTCAAAAAATGAAATAATTTTATAAATTAAGAAATACTCATTATACTTTTGACCTGAGTCAAAAGTCCATGTCATAAAAAGCATTTTTACAATTTTACCAGCAGGTTGCCATATTTTTTAATAGTTGGACACCTATATAAAACATATTAAAAAATCAAGAATATAGCTTTTATCAAAATGAATTATCTGTAATTTAAAATAAACAATTTGTGTACCTACAATATATGTTACTTAATAATATTTATAAAAATGTATTGTTGTATAATTTTGATTTTTAACTTTTTTTACTATTAGAATGGCTGGTAAAAAAAAGGGACCGACAAAAGCAGTAGCTAAAAATTCAACAAAAACCATTGCTGAACAGGCTGATGTTTCAAATAATGCAACTGAACTAAAAGAGTGTGTATAATTATTTTGTGTATATTATTGTAGTTATTTAATTTTGTCTTTAAAACATAAATACTTTTAAGGTGCCTACTTGTTTATATTTATTTTAATAGACAGTTATATATTGGAATGTAGTACATTTTCCCCTATGTTAAACAGTGTTTAAGTTATTTTCTCTTATTACCTATATTATATTAATTAAGTGAAATATTTTGTTTTATTTTTCTTACCTAGATAGTTTTAATAAATTAGTATGATCCAGTTGATTATTATTCAGCAATGTGTATTACTTGTACTTAAATTACAATATAAATAATATTGTTTTTCCTTTTGTGTTTTTAAAATATTTGAAATTATTTTTGCAGAGAACCGATCAAAGTAAATGGTGTAACTGGTTTAGAAGAACTTGCAGAACCAGATGTAATATCAAAAACCAATAAGTGAGGAATATTTAATTTTGTTTTAATTTTTATTAATGTTTCTTGAAATCTTTGTTTATAGTAAGACAATACCTAAAATAAGTACAAGCGGCGTTGCCCGTAAAAAGACTATTAAAGTTGAAGTTACTGATTATAACCTAGTTACAGTAAAATCAAAACGAAATAATCAATCAAACGGAGATGAAAAACAGTCTACTAGTAAGTAATTTTATTACTAACAAGTCTTTTTATATATACAGATAATAAATTTCAATGAATACTGAATAGTATTATAATATAATGTTTGTATGTTAGGCGCCAATCCTAAAAAATCTATTTCAACTAATGGTACTACTGCTCGAACCAAACGTAAACAAGATTCAGAAAACCAGTCACAGTCTACAAGTTCTAAAAGTGTGTATAATTTTTTAATTTAGTAAATTCATATTTTATAAATGTATTTAATTAAATAGGATCGAAAAGAAAATCGCTTGAAGAACAAGCAACTGAAGTGAAGAGAAAAAAGACTGAAAAAACATCAGATAAAATTGGTAAACTGAATTTATAAACTTTGTGACTTTTATATAGTCTAACTGTATATTTTTTTCTAGCCATTGATAACCGAATTCAAACACCTGGTATTATGATGATCAAAGGACGAGATATTGTGATTGCTGGATTATTTGGCTTAGGTCCTGATCGCGAACAGCTCACAAATCTTACTGAATTAAAGAATTACAAATTTAAACTTATTGCTGCTGGAAGTATGCATGTCTTGGGTGTCACTGAAGACGGAAAAGTAATTAACCATTATTTAGTAACTCTTGTAATTTAATTAATCAAATTATTTTTAAATTAAAGCTCATGTCATGGGGTTGTAATGATGAAGGTGCGTTGGGTCGAGATACTTCAGTTGAAGACAGTGAAACTAGACCTGGAGTTGTAGAGATTCCTGAAGAAGATGCAGAAATTTATAGTATATCTGCTGGTGGTTCTCATTCTGCAATACTTCTTAGCAATGGCAATGTATACAGTTGGGGCACATTTAGAGTAAGTTAAATAGGATTTATAACAGAATATTTATTAATTTAATACAATGGATTGTAGGACAAAAATGGAGATATGGGATTTCATCCAAACGGAGAAAAACAATTGAAGCCTAAATTAATCATGAGCTATGTGAAAAAAATTGCATCTGGTATAAATCATCTAGTCATGTTGTCTAAAAACAAAGTTTACACAATGGGATGTGGAGATGAAGGACAACTCGGTAGAATATGCCAAAGGCATTCCAACAGAGATTCACGTGTTGGAAAACGTAAATATTATAAAAAAAAAAAGAACTTTTTTTAAAGAATATTCTATTCTATATATATATTTAATGCTTAATGTGTTAATTTATATTTTTTTTGTTTTATAGAGCTACTGTTGAATCCTCAATTGTTAAATTTACGTAAAAAAGTTGATGATATCTGGGCTAATTATGATACTACATTTTTACGTTTATCAGATTCTTCAATTTACTCTTTTGGTCTGAATGCTCATGGCCAATTGGGTGTTGAAAATGATGATAAATGTGTGTACTTTCCACAAATGTCAGAGTCTTTAAGTCGTCTCAAAATTAAGTCCATATCAGCTGGAACACAGCATGTTACTTTACTAGATGAACAAGGTTTGTCTATTACATAAATAATTTATATTTTTAATTGGTGCTGATTTCTAATTTGCAATGAAGCTAATTTATAAATGTGAGTGATAAGTTTATTTCATGTGCACACTGATTTGGTTTATTGCATATTTTTCTGATAAAATATAAACTCTAAGAAGTGGTTACACCATCACTTCAAAAAATGTATTAATAATTTAAAAATAATATTTTTATTCAATAAGATAAAAGTTGATAGTACCTACATATTTTGTTATTTTTTTTTCTTTTAAAAAATGTTATTTTACAACTGCATAATATGATTTTTTTTTAATAGTATCTGTTCCTAGCCCACAAAATAAAATATAAAATAATACTACTTAATATGCTATGTGGAGTTTGTGTAGTTGTTAGATTTGATAGATTTTAATTCAGGATTCTCAAAAAATTCAAAATAATAAATTTATTTTAGTAAAAATTGGAAGGCAGGGTTAAGCACAATGTTAATGGTCAAATCACTGACATGTGATGCCCTAAGAGATTTTACCTAACCTAACTTCCCGGGTTTAAAAAAAAGACATGAACAATTTAAATCTATTTCCAGGACTAGAAAAGTTATTTCTTTTCAAAAAAATCACTTAACAAGTCGAATAATTATTTAACATGTCTTATTTATGTATATAATTTTATGGATCACTTATATCTGCCTTAATATATATTCTACCTTGAGTTATTTTCTAAATAATTGTGGTTAATTTTTATTATAAATATTATTCATTATCATTTTATAGGTGCCGTTTATGTATTAGGCGATTATAAGGATGGCCGTTTGGGAATGGATATAGCAGAAAATCAAAAAGTTCCCAAAGTATTATCATCATTGCCACAAATTAAACTCGCAACTTGTGGTTCAGATAACAGTTTTGTTGTTACTGAAAATAGTAAGAATAATCGATTAAACCATAATCAAACAAATAATTTTGTTCTCAGAGTTCATGAGCCATTATTAATTTTTTCAGATAAATTGATGGCTTGGGGTATTGGTTTTGAAGAAAAGGATGACGCTGATGTTATTTATTATATACCTACGGATATTGATGCAGCCAACAAATTAGAACAGAAAACAATAGTTCAAGCAACATCTTCAGATTCAGCTGTATTTTTGCTATTACAAGAATAACATGTCAACATTTAATATTTTTATGATTATTTTTTTCTTGATAACTTATGTTTTTGTTCTTAGTTTGAAAATTTTCTTTGATATCCGTTCTTTTATATCAATTTTTACTTATTTTGAAACGCTAACTTGAACAAAAACATTTATTCATTCCTTAACAGATTTTTTTTTTTGACAGGATAAACTTAAAATACATTTATTCAATGTTTTATTTTTTTACCATAGAACTATTAACAATTATACACATGTATTGTATACATGAAACACATTCAGTTTGTCTATGATTACGTTTCAAATTAATTTGAAATATGATATTTTTACTTATTTCTTTTAATTCAATTTTTATTATTATTTATTTTTTTTTTTAATTTTACTTTATTATTAATTTATTACAATTTTGACATAAACATAATGGTGGAATTAATTCAATAACCTATGTCAATGTTTTTTTCTTTTTCGTTTAATTACAATTTTTCTGTACAATATTGTTCTTTTTTTTTTAAACTTCGTCTGGTTTTTTATCAATTAGGCTTAATCTAATGATGAAATCACATAAACGTATTTGTACTTGAATGCGGCTAGCATCATCTGTGATATCGAATCCTGGTACACCAGCCATGTGTAATGTATTCTGTTGTTCTCGTCGCTGTCAACAAAATAATGTTTTCATTACTCAAAATACAATTATATTATTCAATAATTTTCTATATAACACATACATATTTCTAACACGAGATGGGAAACTTTTAAATAAATTTTATTTTAAAATACAAAAAAAATACATAACTAAAATTTGTACATATTAAATGTCATTAAGTATTGATTTTAGAAGTAAAAACCCTAACTGTGATTAATAAGATTCTGACAATTATTTAAATTTGGTGGTCATTCGAAGGAGGCATTAGGTTGCACTTGGCCACAAATACTGTCGTACACAACAAAATAGTAACTAATCTATTTAGTAGCCCTACCCTAAACGTTGTGTATATCGTTCGTCTGGATTTATGGTTGTTGCTTGTGCAATTGATCATATAAATTAATCAATGTTTCTGGCGACATTACCTTTTCGTCGAGTTCTGTCACTATCTTCTTATCGAATTCTCGCAAGTTCTTTCTGTGCTCAGCTTGAAGTCTCAGCCTCGTCTCGGTCTTGCCCGGTTCAGCCAGATCTGACTTCAACAGTTTTTGTATGCCGACTTAAACAGAACTGTCTTACAAAAAATCCACTAAGGATTACGTTGTGGGACGCGATCGATTGCCGAGGAGGTGTACGCGGTACTGTGCGCCTCTGACAATGCCATCACATACTTACCCGAATGTTTGTTGATCATTTCTAAGCGTTTTTGAAACATTTGTTTCTCGGTCACGTGCTGAATGTCAGTCAGCTCCTTGACGATCGAATACAGCGTCTTGTCCAACAGACATTCGGTGAGTTCGCACAGGAGTTCGTTAGGTATGCGCTGCTGGTACTTCCTGGAACGAGAACGTCGGTTCAGTGTTGCCGAACGCCAACAGCGATCGCAATCGATTTACCTGGGTAACTCTTTGACCATTTTCTGTAACTGTTCGTTGAGGAAATAGAGCCTGGACTGGGTCTCATTTTGGTTGTCCGACGTCGTCATGGCAGAGGCCACCGGCCGAGTTTCCGTCGGAAACGGCTGGCAATGAATAATATTATTGTCCGATCCGAATTCCGACAGTTCAACGCGAACGTTCGAGCGATTCGACGGCCATCGTCGCAGGACGCAGACGACGATGTTTATTATTTTATTTATTTTGATGATAAGCCATTATCACAAAATGTAGTTTTTTTGTTATTGTTGTTGTTGTTGTTACCGCTGCTGATAGTAATAATCCTGATTAACCGGTGCAACGATATGGGAGAACAGCAACACCGGGCGACTATCGGTACCAGGGGCCCATGAAATGTTTGCCGGGCGGCCGAGACTCGACGGTGAACGCGAGTCGTGTCCGCGGCGAACGCGTTTACATTTCATGAGTCCCTGATGACCGTTTGAAGAAGTCTGTGCAATAACAAGACAAGTCCATTTTCCATTTTTTCATTACTCGGTTGTTACTCGATCAGCGCACCGTTTGTTTTCTCTCTCTGGCCCACGCGTAACACGGACAAAACGCATTTAGTATTTACGCATAATCATTTTTTGACGTTTTTGAGTAATTTTAGAGTAAAACCACCTGTAACAAAAATTATTGGGAATAATATTTTTGAGGGTACGACTAACCGATTTGTCTAAATATTGTTTCAAAACAGTCTTAAACATCATTTAAATTTATAATTTCTATAATTTTTATTTTTTTTATTTCTAAAACTGGATTATTAGTCAAATAATAATGAACTATAAAACCGACAAGTTAAACCCTCAAAAACATTGTCTTCTATAATTTTTGTAATATGTGTTTTGATTCTATGATTATTGATTACTCGTAAGTCATAAGTCATAAAAAAAATAAAAATGATTTTGCCTAAATACGTTTAGTCTACATTACACGTGGTCCAGAGAGAGAAAACAAACTGTGCGCTGACACCCTTTTTAATATTATACAATATTATAATAAGGCCTGGTGTGGCGCGGTGGTTGGTCTGAGTCACTAATGTGTTCTGAGGTCAGGCATCGGCCGGCGTCGCTAGCTCTCGGATGGGTGACCACCCGAGTTCTTAGTGACGAATCTATGGCGCACACACATGCACACACGTGTTTCCAACCGTAGTAATCAAACTTTACAAACAAACCTTACACAGAATAACCTACCGTTCCTATCCACAGGCCGCAGCTAATGGCCGTAATTGCCGGGCTTAAATAAGATCAGTAAAATACTGAGTTTCACGAAATCAAAATTTCATATAGTAGTGCAATTTTTTTATTATTTCGGTTTTTATGACGTCATAGTTTCGTAAACTTTAAATGGAAGTTTTATTAAATATGCAAAAACTTATGATATTATATTTATATATTATTAATTATAATAATCTACACAAATATTCATTATCTATATTTATAAATTGGTTTTATAAATAATTTTATAACATAAGATTTATACTATTAAGTATAATATTCATAATATTTATTATAATATTATTTATAGTTTATAATTTATAACATCAGAATTTTGTGTTTTATTATTATTTCAATCGTATCTAGTTATTTATCAAAGGTTTTACCAAGTAAATAAATTTAAATAGTCACTGAAAACGTGTACTAGTGTGGTATTTTTGTTTTATTTGTTTCAATATTTTCAAAATAGACATATTCTTCGATAAAAGTAAATAGTCATCATAAATTATCATTTATCAGTATTCATTAGCATTTAGTACACTACAGTCACTACACGGATTAGCGTTTTTTTTTAATAACACAGGAACAGAACCCAAGTAAATACAATTTCAATAATCTACAAAATATTAAGTTTTTAATTTTTATATAAATTATGATTTATGAACTAGTATCATTTTTTTAAAATTAGTAATAATGTCGAAAAGAGATCGAGATTTTTATACTAAATTAGTAGAAACAGTTGAGGCCGTTGAGGGATATACCTGTTCGTATGATTATAAATGTTACATACAAAGTCCGGAATTGTACATTTCGCAATTTGTACAGTGATTTTTGTACACATTGCGAAGTGTACAATGTTGCTGTACAAAGTAACTAGATTGTACAAGTTGCGTTATACAATTCGCGATGTGTACAATAATCACTGTACAAATTGCGAAATGTACAATTCCGGACTTTGTATGTAACATAAACACATTACACAAGGATTATATTAACAGAGATAAGGTCTAACTTGCCTCAGAAAGTCTTATAAATGCACAACAATGGAGTGATGAGCGGGTGACTAGGGCGGCTTAGCCCTCCCATTGCTCTTAGATGAAAAATAATTGATGTCGGGATTTTGTGTTTGAGATAAACCTGATCATCTTTATATATAATCTCAATACACGATACAATTATTAAGTTTGAAAATCTTTGTTATTCGGCGTAATCACAGACTGTATGCAACAGTGGCTTTTCCAATTGGTTTTGTATTTTCGAACACGTTTTTATCATCTATGTAACCATATTCCAAAGTATAACACAAGCGCCAAAAGCTAACCAAATATTTATTTGTGTCCGTCATCATATGATTGATATTGTTAAAAATAATAAAAATAACACAAGAACCAATATATTATTATTTATTACTCATTTTACATCGCAGTGCCCGTATTTATTTTATCTTATCAGAAAATAGAAATTATTCGTAATTCCGAATTCGTATAATTGTATCTGTATCGTTCATTCGGTTCATTCATTAATTCGTTCTCGTGTATTGATTGTATTGTGTTATGTCCAATAGTTAAATAGTTTTACTTTTCGTATAAAATATATTTAGGCATTCGTGTAACAGGTGATCTACTACTTCTTTTTAGGCGTTTCAAATGATCTATCGTGTTATTCCTACATCGAGATAGAGCTATACTTATTTCAATGATTGAAATAGAAATACTTCCGGGAACAGTAATCATGTCAGATGAATGGAAACACTATATTTTACAAAATAAAGAATATAATCACTTGACTGTAAACCATTCTAAAAATGTTGTCGAATCGCTAACAGGAGCCAACACCCAAACGATAAAATGCATATGGTCACGAATTAAAATGAAAATATTCAAAAAATGCATAACACTACATCGGAACTTTATAATCGTTATCTGATTGAAGCGTGGTGGAGGTCAGTTAATCCTCGACATACTTATTTTAAATTTTTTAATTATATTAAAAATATTTACTGAACTTGAAATTTTTATTACACTTGGCTGCTTTTTTAAAAATTTTAATTGATAGGTACTATAAATGTTTACTGTACTCGAAATATGACGTAATAAAAAATTTAATTTGTTTTTGAACTATTAAAAAAATATATATTTTTAATTTGTACGTAGATCATCTGCTACACGAATGTCACGAATACCATCTATATTTGATACGGAGAAACGTGAGGTTTCTAACATTTTCAAATCCAAAAAATCCAAGTCCAACACCGTGCCAAATACACTCGAAAAAAACGATCGAAATAATATTGACGATCCTATACACCGTTAAATGCATCAATTAATAACGATTAACGACAATGTTTTGATTTCGGTGATACTGCGGATAATCGTAATGCTGTACGTCGTACGTGTGACGTCACTTGTCCGGGAGACGCATTCATTGACAATTTGAGCGATATATTAGACAATAATAAAGGTAAATATTAATTTAAATATTAAATTTTAATGCAAATCCACAGTAATAATAACAACAATTATTATTTAATCGACATTCGACACGCCGAGCGCCGAATTTATCGCTGTTCAAGGCGTTCGTTTAATTCGAATATTTCGAATAATTCGTATTGTGGCGTTCGGCGGTCAGCGTACTTACAGCGCCCCGCGTGGCAGACATTCGAAACTCGGAAACCGGTTGATCAGCAACTCGCTCTATGGGTGTGGAGAAGAACCGAAACTGTTCTCGTCGAGAGATCGGTCCGTTCGGGGGACCGACGACCCGCACTGATTATTGTCGTGATTTGAATATCACGTGATGTCACATTAATTTACGAGATTAATTACGTCGGAATGTCATTATGTCAACGGGTTCGACCGTGCGTGACCCGACGTGAACACTGTGCGTGAACCGACGTCGCGGAAACCGCGTCGAGTGTACCAGGGGCCCAGGACCATCGAACCTTTGATGAGCTCGTTGCCGACGGACCGACGGGCGCCCGCTCGCGGTCTTCGGCGGCAACGCCGTAGCTGTTCGTCGCATGCACTCCTGATGTGAGTTTCCAATCTTTTACGTGAAATAGTCACCGTCTGCAACTCCTTAACACACAAACGTGTTTTTATTTATTTATTATTTTTTTTTTTTTTTTTGTGTCCGTCCATATAATTTTGGAGCTTAATGGTTAACGCTATTTTAACTGGATGCATCAAAAAGTTTTTGTATAAAAAATGGATCCAGTCGGTCCTTGGGAATTTCGTAGGGTTAAAAATAAAAAATTTCCAATGTACTCGATAATCGAGAATTATAATATACGCATATATATGCAAACCGAGTTTTTGAAAAAAAAATCGATTTTGCTTTTAAAAACGAATAACTGTGTGTAGGTACTTGACATTTTCACCAAATGTTTATATTAGAATTTTCTGCATACTTAGTATTCAAAATTTCAAAATATTATTTTAAGCTATTTATAGACATTTGAAATTTTGAAATTTTTATATTTTGACCTTTGTCTTTCAACTTTGAGGGTTGTTTTAAATATCAAATTGGACCGAGCTTATACTTTTAGAGGCGTTAAAATTTTCATTATTTGTCATTAAACAAAAAATAAAAAAAAAATGGAAATTTTTACACGAATCTAGTTTTTGATAAAATCGCAATTGTTTTTTATTACATAATGAACTTTTCAAAATATTTGATTCTTTTTTGTATTATTTATACTATTTATAGATATTTGAAATTTTCCACTTTTTTTTTTTGTTCATAATTGTATAAAAAAATGTTTACTGTCAAAAAAAGGTTGAAAATTTAATACGAGATTTTTCCTAAGTTTCCCATTTATCAGTTAAAAAAAAATTAAAGATTTACTGTCACCGTATTTAAATTCAAAATTTTCAAAAAATTTGTAATATCTTCAAAATTGTCCATTTATTTTGTTATATGAAATCTATAACAGTTTTTAATATTCATACTTACCGTTTGAAAATATGATAAAAAGTTTTTTTAAATTTTTTTCATATTGTATTAAAAAAAATTCTACCGGAAAATCAAATTAATTTTTTATGAGCATTTGAAGTATTTATTATAGTTAATCTTTAAAACATTGCAAATTTTTTCGTCATTTTGGTGTAATTTGAAAACAAATAACCGCAGATAGGTACTTGAAATTTTCACAAAATTTTTATATGATTATCTTCATACATTACATAATTTTTAAAATATTTTAACTTTTTTTAAGCTATTTACATCCTTGAGAAATTTTTAATGATTTTTGGTTGTTTTTTTTCTATAAATATTGATCAAAAATTATTTATTAGGTAATAAGTTTTGATAATTTAATATTCACAAGTTGTTTTTATATTTATAAAAAAAAATGTTCTCATGCATATATATATAGCTTAAAAAATTTTGTCATGTATAGAAATTAGAAGATGATGTATTATATAAACGTTTTGTGAACGTTTCAAGTACCTACGGTTATTTATTTTTGAATCATTGAATTATAATAATATAACAAGAATGGTTTAAAGAAAATAATTATTTTACAGATGAATATGTTGTAATGATTTTAAATTTAAACGCTCCTAAAAAATTAATTTGGTTGTCCGTTAGAATTTTTTTATTTTATAATTTGAAATACTTATAAAGAATCTTTTATTATATATTTAAATCTTAAATTTAAAAATAAGTATCTTAAAAATGTCAAACCAAAAATAGTTTTAAAATGCTTAAGGTCTTATGAGTTTTATCGAAATATCAAATTTAAATGTTTATATAAATGCTTTGTGGACATACATTTATTTTTATTTTTATTTTTTATTAATAGTAACTTATAAAGAACGTTGTATTAAATTTTCAGTTTTTTTTTTTTTTATCGAAAGAAATTTTTTTGTTGATAATTAAAAAAAATGTTCATTGTAATTTGTAATATCTTAATCTCTGTTCTATGACCGTTGCCGGTCAACTGTTCAAATTTGTGCGGCATTCATATTTTTTTTATTAAATATCGTTTATTATCTATCACTTTTCCCGATTTTCGGGAAAACTCTTAGTCTTGGAGGAGTCGGAAACGGAAGTTGTAGATTTTATTTTTTTTTTCAAGAGTTGTCACAAAGAACGCAGACTTCTACACTCATGATTATGAACTAAAATATCATGTGCTTTTCGTGTTCAGGTAAGCATTCTGCTTAACATGAATATTATTAAATACGTAATTTAATTTTGTCATCACGCTGTTCACTGTTTAGTGTTTATTATTAATAAAAATTTGTATTCTTTAGTTACCAACCCCCGTTCAGTGGATGGTCGCGTTTTGAATTATCTAAATGCTAACATTTGCCTAGTTAATATAATTACTAATTAGCACCTTATGCAGTTCCTGTTAGTTGAATAATTTAATTATTAACGGTTGTCCTGTGCTGCTTAGTTCCATATCCTTTCAGCTCTGAAACATAGAAATAATTGGGATTCTGAAAAGCCATACAGTACACCGTTTGCAATAGTAAACTAACAGATATTTGATTTGAGAGATTGTTCACAGATATACAATTGGGTAGGTAATTTAATGTGATTTTAATATATGTTTGTTTTTATAAAAAAGTTTTATCATGTTCTTATTATACACCTAGAAATATAATTGTTGAAAATGACTAACTGATATAGGTATATACATTAACATTATAGATTGGTTTTGTTTTCATATTCTGTAATTGAAAACCGTAGGCAACCAGAAATTTCATTGTATTATATTTTTGCTAATATTTTTAATTTTTTTTTTTTTAGATCTGATTTTCATCATGTGCAAGTTTTGTGTGATTTGTGGTCGAGTGGATCATAATTGTAGAATCATCATTCACAGGTTCTCTCAAATATTTTTATTATATTATGTATGTTTCTAATAAGTATATTATTTGCATATAGATTTCCTACAGATCTTAAACGTAAGCAATTATGGATTGAATATGTTAAGAAATTTGGAGTAAATCCAAAATCTCTGAGTCTCACTGCAAGGCTGTGTATGAGGCATTTTAATGCTGACACCGACTACACAACTAATTTCAATAATAAGCGTTTGAAAATCAATGCTGTGCCATCTATGGTGAGTGCTATTCTTGAGATAAACATTTTAGAAATATTCTTTGAGTTTTCTAATGTTTCTATATTATGAATTTCATTCTCATATTATTTCTTTGTTGTCTATCTTTTTGTCATGGTCAGTGGCGTGTTTAGAAGTATTTTGGCACCCATGTTCCACACAGCCCAAAAAACATTTTATTACTATACCAACATAATATTATAATAATTTTTCTATTTTGTATTTTAATTTTAAATTAAATGGGTAGTCTTCATAGATAATTGTATTTTACTAAAGTTTTAATAGAAAATTGTAAAAAAAAGTATGAAGTTATTTGCTGAATAAATATAAATATGTTATTATAATAAAATAATATTAAAAGACTACTATCTTTATAAGGATCTAATAAAATGTTTAATTAAAGGAATAATATAAAACTAAAACAAAAAAAATTGTGGTAGTTCAAGAATATTTATTGAATACCAATTTTTGTTACCCAGAAGCAAATAATTGTAGGTACTTAACATTTGTTTGACATTTTTTCTTTAAAATAATAAAATAATAATGTTAGCAATAAGAAATAAAAATCTAATATCTAAGTAAAGTAAAGTAATATTTGAGTGGAGCTTGTCATCAAAAAATTATAAAAAAATAGGTAGAGTAATTTATAACATAATAATAATAAAATAATGTATAAAAAAAATATTAATATTTTTCATTAAATGTAAAAAGTGTACCAAATATTTTTTAAGAATCTTGCATTACATAATATTTATAATGTTTTTAATTTTATTTAAATATGTTTTGTTCATAGAATTTAACAAAAGTTAATGAAGATATTTTGAAAATAAAAAAAGTTAATTTAATGTGAGTATATCATTATTTCTAAAATAATATAAAATAATTTCACATTGGTTATTTTGATAACATTATAACTTAAAAAATAAAATATATTATTATAAACAAATCCAAAAAATTATAATAGTATGAAGTGTAATGTAATTTAGTAAATCTTGAAATTTACAGGATAATATGTCCTAAAAATATAGAAAATAGTAACAAAATGCTTTTTTTTATTTATTTTTTTTCTATTAGGTATATTAAATTTCAGATTTAAACTATTACTTAAATAAATAAATTAATAAATAATTTAAATTGAATTATTCTTTAAAGAAATGTCATTCAAAATTAATTGAAAAATAAATACCTAGGTAAATTTTTTATTGGCTCACTTTTATTTTTCTCTTCATCTTCTCTTATATTTTTTTTAACTAACATTTTTGAAAAATATAAAATTTGTACATTGATAAAAAGGAATCTTGTTATTAATATATACCAATTAATCATTTAAATTATATTTAAAAAAAAAACATTATCAAGTAGATTTTCTGCTTTGCTGTACGGTAGGTGTTAATTAATTGCTAATAATTATTAAATAAGTCATTAAAATGTATGTGGTAAAGTTGAACTCTATGATAAATTGTTTTATATAAATATATAATAAAAAATGATTCTGAAAAGAGACTGTCTTGATTATTATTTCAACAATTTTAATAAAAGTATTTTTTTTTTTTAAATTATTTTACCTGAATATTTTAAAAAGTATTGAGAAGTTTCTACTTTTGATCCACCAGAGTAATAACTATATGTGCATCTAATTTGTTATAAAAAATTTCCTTAAAATTGATGATAGGACTATTTATGTTTTTTTTTTAGAAATAATGTTTTCAGATTTAAAAATAATAATAAATAAATCAATAAAAATAAGAAAATTATTGTAAAATCTATACATGTAAGTATGCTTAAAATATAAAATTTAAATAGATTTGTAATATTTATTCTATAGCTAATTAATGCAAGTTCATATTTTCTAGAATATTGTCAAATATTAAACCTATAGAAAGTATAAGTAAAGACAACTTAGCGAACCTTGGACAAGAATTTATTGAGAAAAACAATTTTGAAGATGACATTCAATTTATGTACTCTGACTCAGAGTAAGTGTTTAATAATTAGTTTATTATATATAATTATTAAGTATAATTGGTAGATTAAAAGTAGATACCTATTTAAATCTTAAATTTCATGGATATATTTTATTTTATTTAAATTAGTACAATATAAGTATAATTGGATAAATTACTTGATATTCTAGATACTTATCTATTTATTGTGATGTTAGAAGTTGAATATTTTTTTACTTTATTTTAAATGTGATGAATTTACCAGTAGGTTAGAAAAAAATATTGATGAAATTAATCTTTATCTCGTTTATCTTGTCAATAGTCAGTAGCACAACCAGGATTTTTTCAAGAGGGTGTCCGCTAGTGGTATTATAGTAGGTCACCTTATTGTATTTATGTATAAAATATTTTTCAATGTAATTTTCTACTTAAGAAATATTCAAGAGGGGTTGGTACCCAGGATCCTCCCCGCCACTGTCAATAGTAGTCAGCTATTGGACAACTATTGGAGTATTAGTGAAAATTGATTGTTAAAATATTCTGTACAAAAAAAGGTTGAATTATTGTAGTTTTTTATTAGTTAAAAAAAATAGGTTTATTTAAAAAATATTTTGGATCAGGTACATTTTTAGTAAAACTCCTGATTATCTAAAGAAACTGATTATAAACTTAGCAGAATACTTGATAAATATTAAATTAAAATAATTTTTTTTTGTTTGATTAATTATTATTTAATTTTTTTTATTTTTACTGATAAATTAGGGGTTAAGTTGCAAAATTCTTAACATTAAAAAATCTATAATATATGATTTTAATATAATTTTAATACCCTGCTGGCATTTATAAATGTACTATATTATGTGTTTTTTTATTTAAGATGCAATGAACAATTTTCAGATAATTAGATCCTTTAAAAAAATACACACACTGACAAAACTGAACTACATTTTAAAATAGATATAAACATATTGAACCTTGAGTAAATTTTTCTTAATTTATTAATCAATCTATTTTTTTCTTAACATTGTATAGGTATTTTCTGTTTGATAAAATTTTGGTAACGGTCCAATATGTGACCTATATAAGTTACTTAGTTACTTGTCCTACTGATAAGATTGTGTGATCTACATTCTACTTCAACATGCTTATTGCGGTTATTCGTTGTTGTCGTTATGGGAATTTTATTCTATTTTATTTTTGTTTTCCAATACTTACAAATTACAATCATTAATACTTGCCTTCAGTGTCCTCAGTCATACTTACCAATCGATTCGTAAAAATAATGACTTTTTAAATACACGGATCTTAATGGCCGTTGTGATAGTCAACTATCATTATGTGAAATTATAGAAGTAGTTTGGTTCTGGGTTAATTTAGTTTCAGTGAATCAAACTGCAAGTTGGATTGGTAGAATCAAAAACACCAAAATTGGTTGGTACAATCTTTGCAGAGATAAACTAGTGTATTGTTTTTCAAAAAGAGAAAAAATGGGCGGTCATGGTTGTAATGTCCAAATTGATGAATTTCTTTGAGGTAAAAGGAAGTATACTGTATAACCGTGGTTGATTACAATGTGAGGGCATTTATTTGTATTTTAAATTTATGATGTAGGTTATATATAGGACTGTAAGTCATTGTGTAGGTCGCATATTGAACTGTAAATCAGCGTGTAGGTTGCATATTGGACCATTACTAAATTCTGCTGTTAAGTGTAAGTGTATAATTATGTCTTGAAATAAATCAAGTAGGCAATACTTTATAATCTTAAATATTTTATCCTAATATTTTTGTTTATAAATTATTAATTCAATTATTCTAAGAAAAAAATTACAAAAACCAAAAAATTAACTTTCAAAAAATGTATAGACTATATAACTTTTCTAAATTCTGATAATTTTTAATGACTTACTATGACACATTTTAGCTAGAAATTTAATTACTAATGAGCAATGAAAGCAGAAGTGAATCATGACAGGTCTTATGGGAGAAGCGAGAAAAAAAAAATTGAATGTATTTATTCATCTCAAATTTTTCCTTTAATAATTTAAAAGTGTATGGAATAATTTTATGTGCTATTTACTAATATTCTATTTATAAATTATAATAAAAGAATATTTCATATTTTCCTAGACCACCAAATATTAAAATGTATTTTACTTTAAAATCTGGTTATAAAAATTAATACTAAACTAAATACTCTTTATTGTTTTAAAATGTGGAAATTTTATGATTTATTTTAGATGAAATGAAAAAAAAAGAAAAACTTACACACATCTTTAAAGAAGATATTGTCATTGATCATGGCATATGCCGGAGCCATATGCTAAAAAAAAATAAAAACATGGAATATGATTGAGGATTGTGAATTTGCAATGCATTTCAAAGTATGACATATAATAAACAGTTTTCATTGTAATTTATCAATTAATCTCCATAAAATTTTGCTAGTTTTTAATTTTAATATAAAAATTAATTCCTTTAAATTTAAAACAAGCTGTATAATATTTAGTAATTTGTTGAGATTTAAATTCTACGCAAGAACACTTTATGGAAGTAACCTATGTATATTTATGTATTACTATTTATTTGTTACAAAATGTTTGTTGTTGAATCAAAATTGATAGTATAAGTTGAATAAATGATAGAAAAAAACCATTCAAGTGCAAAATCTGTAAAAAACAATTTTCTAACTCTTACAATTTAAGTTTTCATGATAATTTATATTAGAGAGATGCTGTAATATTCAAAAATATTCATAAAAATATATCTAAATATATTATTTTAAAATAAATAATTTAATATTAAATGCAAAGACTGAGTTTAAACCTTAAGTTTTTTTTTCCTCTCCCTACAAATGATTTTAGAGAAGTTCTAACGTTTACCTTAATTACCTTGATGATATAGATGTTAGGAAAAAAATGTTATGATTAACAATTTTTATTTATGTTCTCACGACAAAATATTTAAATACTGTATAATATATTATACAGAGTGATTCATCGGACATGTTTTCCGGTGATAATGAATAGGTATTATTTGAAGTATATACTTAACGATCTTTATTTCCATATTCAAGGGTTGTTAATTGTCATACAATCAGTGGTGTCATTTCAATTTTGACTGGCCTCCCAAATTAATGTACCTAACTTTAAGAAACTACTTGCTACATTCGCAATTCGCTGGTTAATGCCTGCAGTTTCGTGACGACCGACACCAACACTCGCAGTGGTGTCTATTTAGTGGCGGGAATTCGCGAGCAAGACGAGTTTTGGTTGGCCGAGTGGTTCAATCTTAAATGGAATAAGGTATATATATGTATACACGTCCTCATACGTCTGTACTCTGTCCAGCGAGAGAACACGATTATTCTGCGCATTTTCACGTGACATACCATCGTAGAGGACCGATCTACATGACAGGGCGTCGCGCGTGAATGCGCAGAAGAATCGGTTTTCGTTGGGCCGCTGCGTATTCTTTCGCTGGACAGAATAAAATGCAGTGAAACCTCTGAATAGCGGACACTCTCGGTCGTCGAAATTTTGTCCTTTATTCGGAGGTATCCGTTATTCAGAGGTGATACATTTTTGAAATTTATAAATCGTAAAATAAAATAAAATAATGTACATACTATGTATGCATGCATGTATATTGTATATGTATTGTTTAATGTTATAATTGTAATAATTCGAAAAGGACTTTTAGATATATAGTATTATATATATTGGGGTTCGATTATAAGCCTTTAAATTAATCACAAAACAGTATATTACCTTTTTTTCTTTCTGACAACGTCTTCTCTATTGATGTCTTTAATACCTACGTTTGTAAGGTAACCAGTGTGCGTTAAAAAATTACAATACTTGTTTTATTCAATTAAAAATTAAATTTATTAACTTTATTACAAATCTTTTAATACATGATATATATTTAATTTTTACTATTAACAATCTTCAATACTTATGTCTTCTTGTATATTCGATCTGCATAGTCTTTTATTCTCGCTTGTGATTGTCTATACAAAAAGACAGTAAGGACACTGTGTATGTGACCGGCCTTTTTATAATTAATATTCTGTATGTGTGTGTGTTATCTATCGTTCTTATAATCCGACTATAGGTCATTATTATTTATTTTATCATATTGTAATAGAATATTTAATTTTTGTCATATACCTATGATTACATTAATAAATGATTTATAACTAAAGGTCATCATTATTTATTTTATTACACAGTTATACGAGTATAAATATTTAATTATGATTGCTTAGAAGCACATCATTACATTATTTATTGCAAATTATTACATTTTTACATTTTTACATATTATTATTAATTAGGTATTATTATTTAACTATAATTACAATAATTACAAATGTATTTTTTAATTAAGTACAAGTATTTTTTAAATTATTTTCGTGAGAAATAATCGGTGAGCTTTGTCTGCTTAAAATTACACTGTCTCTATGCAATCTCAATAATAATATTATTCGCTTAAGTTACAGCAGAAGTGAAAATAGTACTGTTTTTTTTACGTCTATCGATGAAATGACTTACGTTCTTTACAGCAGACGAAGCGTCCTATAAACTTGTTATTTGATAGAGAAACCATCACCACGATTGTTTCACTGATAACCGAATTCGTCATAATTTTATTGTCCCAAAATTTGTTTTCGTAATTACATTATTACGAGAGTACATACGAATGTGAATACATATAATTTTCAAATAAAGATAAAAATAATGTCCGTTATTCGGAGGGTTTTCCATTGAAAAGTAGAGAAAATGTCTCTGTCCCACAAAAAACGTCCATTAATGAAAGGTGTCCGTTGGAGGTTTTTCTATATATACATAAAAATACACTCGATTTTATTCCAACTATTAATTATTAATAACGAATTTATCATTATGACAATAATTTGTCATTCACAATACTGCAAAACACGATATTTTGGAAAAATATTACAAAATGTATTTTATATGCATTTTTCACCAATAATAGTTAAACGACAACATTCAGGAACCTGTCCATCGGACTGCTAATAACATTAGACAGGATAAAACTCTCATCTTACTTCAAACCCCCAAAAATGACGTCGATGTATAAAATTAAATGTCCTATCTCGATCCAAATTTCTTTTTTTTTTCAAATAAAGGCATTTTTTTTATTATTATAAATTAGGAAGAAAATGATAATTTTAGAAAACTCAATAAATTGGAATAAGTTCATACTATATTCTGAAAGTTATGTATAAATATTTATTACATTCATAATATACTCAAATGTACGCAAATCGATTTTTTGAAAAATATTAATTTATTTAGTAAGAAAAAATAATAAATACATTTCTACGAGTATAATAATTAGTACAATTATTTACCAGTAAGAGAATTGAACATTTTGGTTTATCTAAATATTTTAAAAATGTGTGCATAATATTATATAATTTGGCCACGGTTAAAAACATTAATTAAAAATGAATTGCTTAGTGACCAAGAATGTTATTTCTATAGGTTGTTTATAAGCTAATGTATCTTTTGATTTGACTTTGGAACGCGCAGTTACTTGTATTTTACAATAGTACGAATTTAGTTTTGTTCGCAAAAAAATTTCAATTGTTTTTGATCATATTAGTCTGTTAAACTGTTGAGGCTCGCCATTGAAACTTATTTCAATTATCATTTGCCTTGAATTATTGTATATTGGTTTTGCAATATGAGTGTTCAAGGAATTAAAGTTTATTGCAGGATTAGGCCACTTAAGGAAAGTGAAAAATCTATCAATGTAAGTTAATTTTCCCCATTCTTTTATTATGCATAAATTATGATAATACATCCATAATTTTTAATTTATAGTATGAAGTAATTAAACAAAAACCAGGTATTGATGTTCTTGATGTCAAGTTCAAAGCTTCAAGGAACGACCTGTACCAAAAATATCAGTAAGTGTATAATATAACATAATATATAATGCAGTACCTTAGACCCCTGGCTCGTGAACACATTTTTGTTTATTTAATACGTGTTTTTATTGAGATTGTGGCTTGTGAGATTTAAAAAAAATAATATGTGGCACGCTGCCTAAAAAATTCGAAGACCCTTGATATTAAGTATGAATAATTATACATTATACTAATTATTAATTAGATATCACAGAATATTCAAAGAGAATACGCCACAAATCATGGTTTTCGAAAATGTGGCTGTACCAATATTGGATAAGTAAATATTTTTTAATATTACCTAACCTAAGTACTTTTTTCAATCTTGGTCAAATTAGTTTAAAATCCGAGTACCTAACACCAATATAACAACATTAGTATAATATGTTTGTACATTTTTATGGCTTTGAAGTTAGGTTATACAGTAATAATATTATATAATATTATTAAATAGTTTAAAAGCGTTTGTAAAAAAACTTATTTAAAAACATTTTAAAATTTGGGATTTAGTTAGTTAACCATTTTAATTATTCGATTTGTTAGCCGTCTCTTTACTCTTTTCACTTTAGGACGAAGATTAAACCTTAGCTGACAACGATCGCAAAAAGTGTTCGAAAGTGACTGCAAGCAATTTATTGTTTTTTGTTTTATTTCCGGGTATTTGCCATCCATATATTATGAAATTAATATTACTATCCAAAATTAAGGGAAATTTATTAAATAGAATAAACTATCTCATCGTATTTTACCTATTTACATATAAAATGTAGTTAACACATATTTTTATCGCAATGTTGAACAAAATGAATTTTTTTTAAATAAAAAAACCCTTGTAAACTTAAAATGTAAGACTATTTTTAAAATTAAACAGAAATTTGCGAATCGACTTAATACTTATCTAACTTTGTATGTGTATAGTGTGTATACGAACACAAATGTTTAATCTATTGAAAAATTACATATAATGTACGGTTTTTAATGAAAAATATACTATGAAAAATAAATCAAAAATGTAAAATTATGTCCTGTATATATATATATCTATAAAGATAGTTAAGCACCTATAACTAATGCATTTGATTCACTTAAATTTAAACTTCATACATACATATATTATTTCAGATTTCTACTCGGTATGAACAGCACCATTTTTACATACGGACAGGTGATGAGAAATTTTTTGTTATTTTTCTTTAATATTTTTTAATAATACATTACTAATTATTTTTATTCTATAGACTAGTAGCGGAAAGACCCATACAATGTATGGGTCTCAAGAAGATCGAGGTATTATACCTCGATCTTTTGAATATTTATTTCAACGCACAGAAGGTAATTATTGAAGTCCATTTTATACATTTTTAATTTCAAATCGCAATAATAAAAAAAGTTTTTTAGAACTACATCACGATTTCTCAATGGAATACATTGAAATATACAACGACGACGTGTACGATTTATTAATAGACGCAAATAATTTACCATTGAAAAAAACAAAACATACGAAATTGAAGTAAGCTTATTAACAAAATCAATATTACATAAGATAAATAGCGTAAAAATAATTTAGTAAAAAAATAATAATAATAATTTAGTCCGATAAAAACTAACTATGTGATTTAATGTGTTTTTTATAATTTAGTGAAAAATTAAAGTTCAGCATAAGTTTAAAAGGTGACATCAAATTTAAAAATTTAACGAAAATAAAAATAACTAATTGTAATGATGCCATCAAAATTTTGGAGGTGGTTAACACGAGGAAAAGTGTTTCATCCACAAGTATGAATGCACAATCCAGTCGATCACACTGTATTTGCATGATAAGTTATAAAAGTAAACATAAAGAGATGAAGCTCAATTTAGTGGATTTAGCAGGGTAAGTAATATATTTTATAATTTAAGCAGAGCAATGAAAGTGTCGATTTTTCAATTATATGTTTCTCGGTTAGTAAATTGATTTTAAAGTATAAACTAATCTCTGGGAAATAAAAATAAAAAAAAGATTGCACTTTAAAATTTACTGAAATGAAAAAAAAATAAATAGGGAAAATAAAGATTTTAATGTAAAACCAGTTTTTAACAAACTTTGAATTTTTTTTTGGTTTAACTCAAAAAAAGATAATCATAAATACTTAAAATTTTCATAAATTACATGGTACAATTTTTAAAATATTTTGAATCTTCTATTTAGCTATTTATAATCTTTTAAATTTTTTATAACTATAAGTATCTTTCATAAATGTTGATTTATAAGTTTGATGTAGCTATAAGCAAGTCTTTTTTACGAATAAAAAGCTATGTATAGGTATAGTATATACGAGTATAATGCTATTTGTAGATATTCATAAAAGAAAATTGTTCGACGAAAATAACCATACAAACTAAGTATGAAATAATTACGATTGTTCGTAAGACGATCACGGGTTGAGGTACTACCTCTACATTTGCTTAGAAGATACATTCTTCCGACTTTCTTTAAACTTCAGATAGACTATATTTACCCGTGAAGGGTATGGAAAAGAACTCCCAAAACGAGTGGCGATCGGAACTTGTAGACTTATAGAATGACTACTTGTCAGTTGTCATACTTAAATTAAATGCTTAAACCTTTTATCCGTGTAGGCACTGCAACAGCTAATAGGTACCTGCAAAAAGCTCTTTACTAATAAACCCTATACTTCCTATATTCTCGACCTTACTCTAAATCTTAATAGCAATTGAATATTCGTAAAATAGTTTATGGTTTTTAGATTTGATTTTTCTATCAACAATGCTTAAGTAAAAATATGATGATAATATTCATCGGCTTAATGTTTGTAGAAAATTAATCTAAAAATACTCCCATCCATCACATTTAACCCTCTAAAACAGTAAAAAAAATAGGTTTCTAAACTTAATACGACACGACTTATTTTGGAAAATTTTTAAATTCAACCAACCTACAAAAAATTATACTTTGGCCCTCGGAAGTACACCGTTTGGTGCATAGATTGACAGTAGCAAAAATATTTACCGACACCAATATAGTCGGTACATCAAATGAGTTAAGGTTGTATCATCTTATACGTATTTCGATCAGGACACCGTTTAATTCACTTGTAGGCCGAAACATAATGAGCATTTTTTTGTTTTTGTTTTGTTGTTGATCACTGTATATTATAATTTGTGATAATGTTTAGCCTGGTGACACGTGTTAAAATAATGGAATATATTTAGTAGAATTTATGTACAAAAAATATAAATACTTTTTTTATATTATAAATTTGCATTCTGAAGAAAATTGAATATTTTATAAAAATATATAAATATTTTAAAACTTTACGCAACCTTCTTAAAATTTAATCGCGATCCCTTTTGAGTTACGACCTAACATTTGAAAACCTCTGTTTTAGAAGATAAAACAAATATTGATAATGCAATCGTTATTATTCTATTTTATCTAAATAAGAGTATTTTTCATATATTATGAAAGATTTATGCTAGTTTCTTGTATAATAGCACATTTATTTGACAAATATAACTACTTAAACGAGTATATATTTTTTTAAATATTACTAAAATTACTAATATTATTATACCAAAAATTTTCTAGTTTTATTTCTTGTGTTTAAAGTCAAGTGAGAATAAATATAATTTTTTGTAAATTCTAAAATGTATTTATTTTTTTTCATTTTTTATTTCCAGATCTGAACGGATTTCAAAATCCGTTGCAAACAAAAAGATCTTGGCCGAGTCGCGCTCCATAAACTCGTCGTTACATCATCTAAATCACGTTATAAATATACTAGAAAATCCTAAATTATACGTACCGTATCGTAATTCTACGATAACGTCGGTACTCAAAGGCTCGTTAGGTACAAAATGTGCTACCGCAATGATTGCCACTATCGTATTAAATTATCAATGCATCGGAGTTAGTTAAATTAACACACTATATCATTTTTGATTAATCGATTAAAATCTCTGAATATCCATTACAGGAATCGTTATCAACTTGCCGATTTTCTAAAGCAGTGGCAGCAATTAAAAAAATGAAAGAGATCTCTAGACCAAAATTTAAATTTAAAACGACCGCGACATGGAATTTAGAAAAAGAAAACAAAGAGGTATTTTTTCATTTAATAAAAACTGAAATATTAGTTATCTGTGCGGTAATTAAAAAGTATTATTAAAAGTATTATAATTTATGCGTGAAAATAATTTTAATTTTAGTTGTAACCTATAGAAATTTAAGTATATCATAATTTTTTTTTATTGAGCTTAGTCAATTTTTTAATCAATTACTTATATCGTATTGCTTAGCGTTTTACATCCTTTTTATATCTGAATAAGTACCATTTATCCATTTTAAAAACGTTCACACACCAATTTTATTTATTTAATAAATTACTTTTTTTTTTCATGTAAGATTGTAAGAAGCCTGTTATTAAAATATTATTTTTTGTTAATATTTCTGAATTAATATTTCTTAATTTATGTACGAAGGACAATAAATAATAATTAATTTAAAAAAGATATATTTTAATAATTAGTCTAGTACTTATTATTACTATTCATTAAATTGTAAACAGATTATACGATATTAATGAATTCACATAAAGTAAGTATACTTTAGTTACTTATGTATAGAAAAAACTAAAAAGAGCGTTTCTCATAAAAAAAAAATTTGTATCATTGTTTTTGAATTCAATAAAAAAAATCTATATGTTTACATTATAAAAATTTCAAACATTTAAATTTAAATAAATAACTAAAGGGAAAATTGTGGGCGAGCATGCTGGCCTTTATTTATAACTAATATTTGTGTATATAAAAATAGTTTCGTCATAAACTTTTATTTGACAAAGAATAGTTCAATACATGATTCATTATAGTAAAATAAATATTAATTATCCTTTACTTTATTAGTTGAAAAAAGCTTTATCAAAAGCAGAAAAAAAAATAAAAGAATATGAAAAATTGACATCATTACAATTTTTGAGTAAGTGATTTATTTAAGTTAATTTTTGTAAATAATAGGATCAAAACTTAATATTTTAATTTATAGTTAAAATATTATTATTCAATTATTGTATTTTAACTTTGATTTCATAATAATTATGATAGTTTAATATTGAATGAAAAACCGTTCAAGTGATGTCTTATCGAAAAAAAAATATAATAGATTTATTTACTATTAATATTTTTATCATAATGTTTCTACAAGTATATAAAAAATATATTATTTTATTAAATGTATCTTATTATGTAATTAAGCAAGTTAGTTTGTTTATATTCTTTAGTTAATTAAAATATTCTTTTTTTTATTCAAGATACAGAAAACAACGGAGACTTGACGATTACAATTAACAACCACGAAGAACTGCACGATGAACTGCATGAAGAATTAAAAGTAAATTATGTGTATCTCTTTTATTTATTTTTTATCGCTCAAAAGTTAAACCACTGTATCTTTTTTCGTTATTTGATTTATAAAAGTTGTTATTTAATGAAGGTACAAGTATAAAGCTATATACATAATAAACACATATTATGTTTAATGTTAATAGTCAATTAATAATGTTAGCAAAATGCAAGCTAGACGGTTGTCCGCCGGTTGTCGGATTAACGAAATGATGCGCTGATACTTGCAAAAACATTGTACTTCTAATACGTTAGCTGTACACATCGTTTTACGCAGAATTTCGTCGCCTTTGGTTAATATTATAGCTCCTTAATATAGGACATAGATAATAAATAGATGATGCCAGGGATATTTTTATAGATTTTATTATTTTTCTATATTATACTATTGATGTGCATTTTTTTGTAATAATTATTTCGTGGGAGCCAAATAACGTGTTTTAAAGAGACGAGAGTCTCCAATCGTAATGATAAATGGTCATAATATTATGTATTATCTTTATTTTAGGTCGACGGAAACAATACGAATGTAGCATGTGATGTTCATGACGGTCAATCCGAACTGTTTGACTTTGCCATCGGAGATGGTATCATCAACGTTCCGGCAGTCAATATGAAAAAACCATTAGTTATGGACTTCAGCGATGGAACTAATGATAACCAGAAGGTTTATTTTAAATCCATCTTTAATATTAAGCATATTCAATTAACAATTTTCTTTTCGTATACATTTTTATTTGAATGATAAATACATCGTCTATACCTAGATAAATTTTTTCGAATATATAGACAATATATTGGAGTATGGATTTATTTTGAATGCAAGTGACATGTGTCTACACTTTTCATAAACTATATTATACACGGTTTTAACTTTTAAGAACCTACAAATTAAAAACATTAAATTTAAAGACGTTATTATTTCGATAAAAATAAAATAATAAATAAATTGAATTGTTTTAAATTTAAATTTAAATAAATAAAATATAAAATATTCATTAATGTTTTTTTTTTTTTTTAAATATATTTTAATTAATATTGTATATTATAGAAAATTTATGATTAGGGATACCGTGCAAAGGAATGTTACAAACATTCCACTGATATACAATTTAAGGCTTAATAAAAACATTACAATGGAATATTACTTGACTGTTACAAGAATAGTCCATAAACATATTATAATTTAAGATTGAAAAAGGACGTTCCAATTATATACTTTGTGTGTTTCAAGAATTACATAATTTTGTTATGTTAACTAAATATTACGTAGATGTTTGGAAAATACATTTTATCTCAATATATTTTTAGCTATAATTAGACGGCCGTTTTTATTATATTATAGACACCGGTTTGTTGTTATCCATTTTATACCACGAAAATTCGCGCTTAACCGCGGCATGACTTGTAACTTGTGAGGGTATAAAATTTTTATTAAAATTTATTTTAAAATTTTTTTTTTAATTTTTATATTGTCACATGTCAATAAGACTGTTGTCTACTTTCCGTGTGTTTAATTTTAATACGATTTACGTTTGAGGTTTACGGTTTACGATTTAACCTACCTCGTGTACCTTCTTATTTTGTTTATTGACTATTGAGTAGTAATTGTGATTTATAGTATAATATAAGAACTGTGTAGTGCGTCATGGCGAACTTCATTAAAAAGATAAGGATAAAATAGAATAGTATTAATTATGAATAGTATTTAAATTTCATTTATGTAGGTACCTAAAGTATATGCTATTTACCTACCTAGTACAATAAGTAAACAGTTTAACGATGATTGTGAAATTATCAATGTTACCTTTAAACATATTATATTTTATATTCAGATATATTTAATATTAATATTTGTAAATATGGCATTGCAGGGTCGTAATAGTATGAAATGGGTGGTTGTAAAGTTTATTGGCGGTAAAGATTGTGTGATCCCAATAAATTGGTTGATCGAAACAGATTCAGAGAATTTGTCCAAGTGTTCTGTTAAGTATTGTAAATGGCCATCAAAAAGAGTGACACGTTATGATTTAAAGTTAGCTGAAGACCCAGATTATTCATGGACACTGCACAAAATTAAAGTATTTGATGGCAACAAAACTTATGGTAAGATTCTACACAGATTATATTTAAATAATTTTTAATTAGTATTAATATTACCTATAGCATTATTTTATAGTTAACTTAGTTACTTTCCTACTTATTTCTATTAATTCAATTTTTTTCTTGTAATAATAGTTAAATTTTTCTATTAGGACAATTTTCTAAGGCTTGGCATAAGTATGAACTAGAATCAACATATAACGAGGACATTTCTAATAAAAAACGAAAATGTTGTAGTTCTTTAAGTAATGATAATTCATGCATTGAAGGTAAACATTATTTTAGTTAAATTTATTTATTAGTTTTTGTGTAATATTTATATTATTAGTACCAAGTTCTTATTTGTCAAACATTTATTAATTGTTATCAGCTTCCAAATTTGATGTTGAATACATTTGTTTTAACTTGATATTAGTAGATTTCCAAAATAATTAATATAAACTGATAGACATGGGTCTTGTGACTTGTTCAATGAACAATTAATTCTAAAATAGGAAAATGGTCAGAATTAAAAAATTAATTTAAATCAAATTAAGTGTTTATTTTTTAAAAATATGTTTCATTTTATATATAAAAAAAACTTGTTTATCTGAATAAAAATCTAATAATTTTTTTAACAATTTTTTGAAGCTTTATATAAATAATCAAGTGTATGTACAAAATATCACAAAGTTTGAAACACTTTACATGTCTCAGGTCTTTGGGGCTATACTAAATAACCCACACAAATGTGATGGTTAGTCTTTAAATAGATCTCAAAATAAATATTTATCAGGCAATTAGTTAATAGTTAATTACCAACACAAATGTGAGGGTTAGAGCTGAAAGGGTTATAATCATTTTTATAGATATCATGATTAAAACAACATTTTTCACTTGAAATTTATTATTAAAATTTTTATTTTTATGTAACGTACCTATTGCATGTTCCTGATTTAATTTTCTTTGATAGATAATGGTTATAATATTGTGCCTGCTGTAGCTAGTACTATGATAAGTTCTGAACCAATTACAGAATTACAAGAAATGTCATATATAAATCTGCAAGCACCTAATGATTTAACATCTACAAAATATGCTAACGAAAATTTAAATATTGGCACATTGAAAGATACTTTAACTCAAACGTCAAAAATTCTAACTTCATCTATTTCAGACTTACAAGTAATAACTTATTACTGTAAATAAATTTGACATAGTATAATTTATTTTGGATTTGTATAATTTATGTATAATAGGTGCCTTACATTGAAGATCATAATCAATGTTTCTCTAATTCACCGACGTTTATTTCTGCTAGTGATAACAATTATTCAACAATGCAAAATTTAAATTTTGAAAAAAATCAAAGTTTATTGAGTTCTAAAACCAATAATGATTTAAGCCATTTATCTTTGCCAAGTACATTTGATGAAGGTAAGATAAAATATCTAATTTCTTAAATTACAACATTTATATTTCCTCGCTAACTAGTAGTTAATAGATACTTAGGTAGCTAATGGATATCTAGGTGGTTAGGTTTGGTTAGATAATAGTTAATGGTAATGGTTGATACAAAGAGGTTTTTCACAGTTTACCTTCAGTTTGTTTTAAAGCATTATATTTTACGTTATTTTATAAACATTATTTTTAAGTTTATAAATTTAAATGAACTTTAAATAGGTATTATGTATTATATTAATTCTTTTGCTTGAAATCTTGAGCTAAAACTTGTATATTAAATGTTTATTTTTTTTTTTTTTGCTAAGTATGGTTGTATTTACCAAGTATTTTAACTATAATATTCATTAATATTGACTCCCTTCCAAGTTCTAATCAATAGAATTAAAATTGATTAGGTATAAGGTACAATTATTGCTTTATTTTTGTGTTAAATAGAAATCTAGTATTACTTTATTAATTACTTTAATTTTCATTATATTTCATATTAGAAGGTCTTCATTGTATTTTAAAGAACATTCAAACTGAAATGATAACTGCTCGTTTAACGAATGAGCGTATATTAAGCAAAATAAGTAGTTTAAAAAATGATGTAGCAAAATTGGCCCGCCATGTGTTACCTATAGGATTAGCTTTTTCAAATGATGTGGAAGATAAACAGTTTTTAGACCAACTTCCATTTTCCAACTGGGAAAATGTTTTGGTTTGTGAAAGAGTACTTCAAACAAATAATGATGTGAAAGAGAAATTTGTATGTTGACTGTACTAATTATTATTTAATAAGCATATAAATTTAAATTAATTTAAGTGAACTTCTATTTTGTAGAAACATATGCTAAGTGTAGTTGGTGGTGTAGATGCAAAAACCAATATTAGACGCATTTTGAATAAATTATTTACAAATAAATTTGCTATCAAATGTTCATGGACAGGTAGAGCTTTTGAAAAAGATGTTAAAAAGTATAAAGTTCAAAATTTACAAATTATTGTTGTTATGAGAAGTAAGTTATCTGAAAGCTTAGTGCTTATACAAAATTCAAAGTTGAAACAATACTAACATATTTTATATCAGGTGTTATCAAAAATCAGTATCCTCAAAATTCTGATGCACAATTTGAGTTAGACGTCCAAAGTTGGTTCAGAACTTCTAAGACAAGATATGATAGAGAAAATAAATAAAGAATGTCATTCAAGATACTCATAAATTAAAAAAGTTATAGTTGTATTTACAGTCATAAGTGGAACTTGCAATTTTTTTTTCTTATATTTTGTTAAATTACATAAATCTTAAATTAAATTTAATAACTAATATTTATTAAAGGTAATAGGTACAATTGAAAAGTATTATCACTTCTACCATCAGTATTTTTTGATTACATGTAAATGTTATTAGTATATTAAATTTTACATTGTTATTATAATTATTAAAATAAGTACCATCGACAAAATATCAACCTATGATATTTTCACGTCCATCAAAAATAAAATCCTTTTGTCATGGCAACACCACTGGGACTCCATTCCACATACCAACAAACTTAAACACATAAAATGTTCTGTGAAACAGTGGTCTACACCTCCGGAACTCAACCGACGTCAAAATATTGCCATCACTCGTATTAGAATCGGCCACACCTTTCTCACACACTCCTTCCTCATCAGTAAAGATCAACCACCTATATGCAACACGTGCCAAACCCGTATCACTATAAGACACATTTTTGAAGAATGCCCAGTACACGAACCAACCCGCACTCTTCTCAACCTACCACTCAACATCAAAGAAGCTCTAAATGAAGAACACACTTTAAAAACTATCGAATTCATCACCAAAGACAACCTTATCAACAAAATATAATTTCAAAATTAATCAAATTGTAAATCTATTTAAACAAATATTGTAAATTTTTTTTTTTCTTTTTGTTAAACTTAAACATAAATGTTGGCTAATAACCTTTGTAGTTGAAGCCTGTAAACCTTAAATAAATAAAAAAAAAAAAAAATATATACTTGATAAGTGTGATTATTTCTTAGATTCATCAATATCTTGTAGGAGAGTCAAACATATTGGAAGCATTTCTAACCGCCAGTTTCAGAGGAGAATCAAAACTCAAATAGCACTGTGTGAGTAACATTATGTTATTTTATTTTCAAAATTAATTGTTTCCAACATGATTATAATATAATATATTATTTTTTTTTTTTTCATATGATCAAAATAGCATTAGTGAATACAATACCGGTTAAAAAGCCTTCCAATGAGCAAAATAATAAGCAACAATTCAATGAACAAACTAATTTAGAATCATTTAACAATGAACCAAAAGAGCCAGTTTTCCCTGCACAACTAATTCCAAACCATATAAATATTAATGTAGGTAATTTATATTCATTTTTTCTATTAAATATTGATACATTTAATTTTTTTAGAATGCTTCAAACAGTGTTCAATCCATTTTAAATGAAGATTCATTAGTAGTTGCTAAAAATTTTGAAGTCTCAAATCAAGATATAGTAAAACGTTTTTGTAAGTGGATTGTAGATTTCAATGTATCACATAGATGTGCCAATGAAATGTTATCCATTTTATGTAGTACGGGTTTAAAACTTTCAAAAGATGTTAGAACTATCCTAGGCCAACATAAAACTAATCATTTGATTGTTGAAATTGAAAATGGTTCATATCTAGATTTAAGTATCTTAAATATGATAAAACCACATTTAGTTAAACAAATAAAATGTATTCCTGATAATATAACTATTAAGTTGAGCTTTAATATTGACGGTTTACCACTTGCAAAAAGTTCAAAAACTCAATTTTGGCCAATTCTTTTGTCATTTGTTAATTTACCTCATTTTGTAAATAAAATTTTTCCAGTAGGTATTTACCATAGTTTTAAAAGCAAACCTAGTAATGTTAATGAATTTTTTAGGCCATTTTTTAAATGAGATTCAAAATCTTATAACTCATGGAATTAAAATTGAAAATAAAATAATACATTTTGAAATTTTTCACATTGTAGCAGACGCCCCAGCAAAAGCATTTTTATTAAAAGTTAAAAATCATAATGGGTATTTTGGTTGTAACTCATGCGAAGTAGAAGGTGATTTTATTGACAATAAAGTTTGTTTTTTAAATTTGTGTGCACCATTACGTACTAATGATTCATTTCGATTAAAGTCCAATATAGAATACCATAAAGATGGATTAAGTCCTCTGATAGAGCTTCCTTTAGACATAACAACCACTGTAGTCCTTGATTATATGCATTGTGTGTGCCAAGGAGTCGTAAAACGGCTTCTAGAGTTTTGGGTAAGAGGTAAAAACCAATGAGAATTTTAGAAGAGAAAAAAAATATAATTTCTCTATCTCTTTTAAATATAAGAAAATTTGTACCATCTGAGTTTGTGCGTCTACCAAGATCATTAGATGATCTTCAAAATGTTTAGATAGGAATTTAATTTTGCGATTTATTTTATAATTTATTATTAAACCAATAATACTCAGCTAAATATCAAAAAGTTAAATATGTTTGATTAAATTTGTGATTTCGGTGTATTATTATTTATTGTATTGTCGTGGATCATTAAATATTTTTACTCTTCTATTAAGTGAAAACAATTCATAAAAAAATAAATGTATATAATGAGATTTTTTATTTATCTTTTTTTATTATTATAGTGCCATTTTAAGTAATCTAAAATATCTAAAACCAGTATTAAGTGTGGATAGTATACTACCTGAATGGTTAAAATCTTGTTGGGGTCCAGTGATATGCCCAGAAGGCAGTGATTTTCAAACCCATTGTCGCTGTGGCCAATGTTTGCGGATCTATACTAAATGGGTAATACAAAAAAAATAACGTTAAAATATGTACAAAAATAATTATTAGGTATAAGTTATTAATAGAATTTAAATTAATATATTAGGTGCATCAAAATATAAATTAATTCCAAAATAAGATAATCTAGTTCGATTTTGAGATACTCTTACAATATGCTATCTACCATAATTTAAAATTGGATTAATAAAATACTCTTTTCAAATGAAAATCGTTTTATTTTTATAATACAATATTTTTATTAGGAATGGGATGTTTATGACTTTTACATATTTTTTCTTTTAGTCGTACACATTGCAAACCCAGTAGGTAATAAATTCGTTTTGTATGGCATAGAATCAGATATATTCAATTTTATTTTGCATATTTTTGCATACTTAGAGACTCTTATGAATAAATGCATATTTTGTTCAAAAAAATAACTTAAATATAATATAAACATCAATATATACCTACAGGTAGGCAATTGGTTTTATATCTAACGAAAAAGATAAAAACTTGTTGTTTATATTATTAACTTATCTTTACTATAACTCCACTTTTATTGATCAATATAATCATGTTTATGAACGATGATCGCTATAGTGTGATATAGTGATGCCTATATTTTTAATTTCAAAAATCTCATATTTGTATGTATTTGTATTTAAGTCTAAAGTTATAAAAATAGTATTGTAAATTGATTGGGAATAGATTTTGGATTAGTACCTAATAAACTAATTTTAAAAAGACATATTTAATATTTTTAAGGCGGTATTTTGATATTTATTCTGCATATTTGCATGCATTTTTTAGTGTTATTAAGACTAATTTGATTTTTTTTATAGAAAGCCTAATAAAATTGTAAAATATACTTATAGGTACCTATATACATATAAATATAATACAATTTAGTTAAATAAATCGAAAATGGTAATTTCTGATTTTTAGTATATAGCGTTCTATAGCAAATATTCGCGTTGATAGCATATTGTATAAACGATTATTAATTTTGTTTGGTTGTAGTTGTCTAACATTAATGTGCCTCTCTATAATAATAATAATAATATTAATGCGTATGATTGTCAGAATAACAAGAAAATCAGTGAAAATTTCGTAAACGCCTTTTGTAATTGCCAACCAGTGCCACGTGTTATGGATCCCCTCAATATAACAAGTGATGACCAGTCGACGAAGGGTTGGACTTGATGTAACATAGCGTTTGAAGAATACTTTACATTAGTAAATTCAGTACTCAACAAAAGGATGTATGTAATCGGCTGTCTCTTTTTTATGATGTTAATAACAATGGTGCTGTTCAAACTCTTTCGTTTGAGATTGATCAATATACTATTTGATTGCAACGAAAATACTAACAGGTAAATATTATATAACAGTCAATAATAATATTTTAATGAATTAAATCTTCAATATTAATTTGAATAATATTTATTGAAAGTATTCAAATATTCATTGTACACATGTCATGTTCAGTATCAGTTTTATCTATACAATAACTACAACATAATATGATATTATCGTATTAACGAAAACAACTTATAGATATTATTACAATGCTTTGCTGTAAAAATAAAAATTAAAGTTTTGTTTTTACATTTTTGCAATTTTATAGTTCCAATTCAAATACTCAGGAGATCACACAACCAAGTACAATCACGGAAAATATTGAATTCCTGTCAAACAGTGCCCCGTTAAACAAGTTTCCGTCGAAGAGTACACGGTTAAACAACTTCAGCCCAACGGTTTTACAGAAAAGGTACAGTAATATTGAAATAAAAAGATATGAATAAAATAATTTGATAAGTACTAAGTTATTACTAATTATGATAGTTCTTATTTTTATTTCCGTTGATTTTTGTTTGGTTGTATTAATCTGTCTTAATTAAACTGTTATAATAATAATAATATCTGTTTTCCGCGGTAGTTAGATCGACGAAAGTGTTATGAACTTCGTTCAAAGTGAAACTCCACTGCAGACCAGGAAGCCACCAGCAACAGGAAATCGCGTTGGAGAATTACAAACTAGCTTCAAGCGATATGGTTTCCGACGACGGTATAAGAAAAGTAATTTTTAATAAAGGTTATTCAAGGAGCAATGGTAAGTAACCTATATATTCTTTGTAAATCAACTTTAAAATGAAATATTCTATGGTTTCAAAGATAAAAAGGCGAAGGAATGATCATTGTTAAAAATCATAGAGTTATATTTAGTAATTAACATAATTTTACTGTATATTTAATAATGTATACAAATTGTTATATTACATAATACATCTATTCGAAATGTTATATAAGATTGAATTATGGAGGAGTGAGGACCATTTGGCTGAATGCTAAAAATGAGTAGCTTTCATAACAAAAAACTCCCGTATTAAGTCTCTGAAGTTTATATTAGGCGTTTGAGTAGTGTACATTCTTCTTTGAGTAAGTTGAGATCCGTTACAATTAGTCACTGTAATGAACAGTGGTGTATTGATAAATAAATTTATGTGTATACGCACTTAAAATAATAATAATACAATAGTATAATAGTATTTGATAAACTTTATCTTTTATTACAAAAACTCACTCTTCTCTTCAAATACATGTATCAATATATAAAAAACTTATGACTAGTACACCTTTGAAATTTAATTTCGGTAATTTATTTTCATAGTTTATAAATTTATTTACTTTATCCAAAAAATATTTAAACAATTGTGAATTTTTTTTTATGTTAAACCAAAATTGAAATTTTAGTGATGAACAGGATGTAAACAGGTAGATTTGGTTTGAATGTGAGTAGTATTCTGACAGTTTGAAATTCAGAGGAATATCCACAATGGACGCATACATTTTAATCTTCTATAATATTGGATGCTAATATTTAATATTTGCATTAAAAAATATGCATGCTCGGCAATTTCCGAATTTCAACGGGTTAAGGCTTTTTTTGAACAATATAATAGTGTATATAATAAAATAATAATTGTATACTATTATTATTATTATTATTATTATTATTATTACTTATTTTATACTAATAAATTATTACTGATTATAAACTAGAAGCTTGCACCTACCCTTAATACATGCATTTTCAGTTGACGTATGCCCATAATAGACGAACTTTCTATAAGCTATATGAATAAATCCAAAAATAGTGATCTAGGTACTTACGTATACCTTCCAATACACCACTGGTACTGAATGTGTTAAATTTGTACTTAACAATTAATTAAAAAAATTGAATGAATTAAAACACGGTCATCGTGTACGTCATAATAATATACAAACCGCTCTTTATTATTAATAAACATTTAAAACAAATTTCGGTCGCATAACATTAACCCGTCAGCTTATATCATGACAGGTATGTGCGTGCGACCTATCCTTATTATAATTAATTACACGTGCCCGGGCCTCTCCACCACTTGTTGACGTCTTCATAATGTCGGGGCCCGCGTTCCGTGTCGTGGAGCATCGCGCACAACCGGCAGTAAAAACGCGTGTCTCTGGTTAACGTGCCCGAGCCTTTCCACCGGAAGTATTCGTTGTAAAGCTGATGGTTGCTGTCTAACAAATGCAAGTAATCGGCTAGTTTTTTTGGTGACTCGAAGTCGTCGACGTGTATGAATGAATTACTCGGCGCAATCAATTCGTAATCTTTCCGGCTTGGTCCCATGACAATCGGCAACGTGTCGTAACTGCATTTGTATATAACATATAATATATTGTATATTATTTATAGAACTATAAAAACTAGTTTTTTATAATAGTCTTGTACGTCCTAAATTTTGGCTTTGAATTTTGAGAACGCATTACTTCTAAAGAGTAGATAATATTTATTTGACATAAAATTGCTTAATAGTTACCTAATTAAACTAAATGTTTCTTTTTCAAATATAATTTTGATTTAATGCATTTTTTTCTATTTTGATAGTAGGTATATAGTATAACAGCTGCAATTATTGAAACGATTGTCAACGGTTTGTGAGTAATATAAAGCTCAATTATTGATAAAATGTATAAACTGGTTTTTATATTTAAAATTTACATTTATGACTGATTAAAATAGCAACCTATGGTAAACTACCCTAGATCATAACGACCCACCAAAAGGACAAAATTAGTCCGGAGTGTGTTAAATAAAGGATTTAATTTTTTTTTTAGTGTGTACCGTGCATACTTTTATAATCATTTTAGTAGGTATTTTTGAAATCATAAATATTGATTATTGAAAATTGATCGTATCTTATTTTTATTTATATTGAAAATATAAGTGTACAACTCGTCCTTAAAAATGAAATATAATTAAAACAAAAAAAAATATTATTATTAGAAATTTAAAATAATTTTTCTGTAATCCCCCTTTTTTATGTATAATACCTACAAACTGACAGTCGATCGTTATGTGTAAATGTTTGTCTTTCACGCTCAAAGTGATTTATTATAAGATCATCAAAAATAGACGTAATAATAAGGTTTCAATTTATTAAATTGTTTTATAAGATCTAATAATAAAATATTATAAAGTTATTGAACTTTGAACTCACTTCAGAGCATTCTCGAAAAATTTTTCTGTTACATAATAAACGCAATGCGAGTTTTCAAAAGACAAATAGAATTTATAATCATTTTTCAGCATCTCAAAGCATTTATCATTTGCCTTGGGACATTGAAGCTTTCCGCATTTGCCGTAAACGTCGATTGAAATGTATTGGGCGAGTTGGTTTACGTAATTCTTACGATTGCTGTTCGGATTGCAGTTCGAGACGAACCACGCCACTTTCTTAGTTTTATTTTCAGCGTAATTTTTTTCCCCGTCTTGAGACATAGATGAATTATATTTCATGAAATAACCATAAGGGATTGGGATATCACTGTCCCATCGGTAGTTAGCTGTCCAATTGATTACGTGGGCGTCGCTTACGATTTTAGTGGGATGCGGCGGAGCTTCGGTGTTAAGTAAAATCCAAATCTGAAGGACGAATGACAAAAAATATAACGCACGCAGTAGTATTAAAAAAAAATTATATCAATATTATATTACTAGGCATTTTATCTATGCTCATAACTTACAAGCCTTGCGTATAGGAAAATATTTTAATCCTCTGTATCTCACACAAATTTATCAAATATATATTTATATATACATCTATCCTTTTTACAATTGTATTTGATAAGGGTAACATCAAACATGAATACATTTGGATAAAGAACGTTGCATAAAAATAGATCATTACAGTTTACAGATATTTTGTGATGCCACTTTTATTATATATATTTAAACTTAAGAATAAGACTCATTAAGAATATGAATATTTGATAGTTTTTACTTTTAATCCGCGAATATTTAATTATTTATTTCATAAATCTAATGGACGAGAAGGCAATACATGAATATAGAAGGGCAAACAATTGTTAGGATTTTATTATTAAATTTTCGGATATTGAACTGTAAAAAACAACGTTATATTAACGCCAAAATCAAAAATATTTCTATATGGATTAGTTTTTTGTAAACTTAATAAACGGAAATATTGATAAACTTTTAATGATTTAGTAAACGCAAATGCTAAATTACGTTGAATAAAATCGTTTTTGGCGAACAAGTGCCTTAATAGTTTGTTTACCTGATTGGGCGGCCTCTGGTACTCGGGGCGTTTGTAAAAATGCCTGAACATCACCGCGTCGACTTCTGGACCCAGTGACTTATTTAAGGTCAACCAACATTGACTCACGGGACATCCAATGAATTCACCCTGGTCAGCTTTAAGCGTCTCCCATGTAGCGCCAGGGCCTGTATAGATTAAAATCCGTTTGATTGGTGTCTCCAGGTACTTGTATCCCTTAGGTATGTAATATAATTGCTCTTTAATTCTGTCGCCTCTTGGTAACTGTTCCGGCCACACCAATCTTGAACTAGTGAATTTGTTATCGGTACCTAAATTTAGTACGACGTTTTACGAACGAAATTAATCAAACTTTAATATTATTATATGCCAGTTGGGCATTAGTGGTATATCTTACAATCTGCATTACTGACGGTTAAGTTGGGATCCTGCTGAAAAACAATTGAGAAAATTTATCTGTAACTGAATTGTTTTTATATATACATAATCTTATACAATTCATATATATATACTATACAAGGGCGCCCATTTGGGGGGGGACAAGGGAGAGACATATTTCCCCCTTTGGAAAATGTTGAAAATTAATTTGATTTAAATTAAATTGTAAATCCCTTCATATCTCATGGACATAATTCAAATTTAACCTTACCTATTTAATATAATACCCAGTTGATAATAATTAGTTTTATAAACAATTTTTTTAGTTGCTTACACTTACTTTTCTGAAATAAATCATATTCATGTAAAATAAACTTATTGATGTTAACACAAATACTATTATGTATCTAATAATTATTAGCAATTTATGTTTGGTGTGATGATTCAAAAATTTTATCTCTGTCATCTTTCA